AAACTCAATACAATTAAAATTATAATAATAAATAAAAATTATAAAAAGTAGTATATAAATGATATGTATAATACATTTTTGCATGCCAACCACATAAAAATGATGACAAATAATACAATATTTTAAGCATAGTTACACCATTTGAGGAAGCATATATATATATAAGCTTATAAGTTATATATTATATGTATATTATGTTACGGGTGAAGTACAAAAACGGTTAGTGTACATATTACCCGGGTAATGTGAACCTCATCCATACAAACAGTGTAATGTATATGTATACATTATCCACCTTAAATATGTAGTATCCAATCAATTTATACATTATCCGGTGTGCTGTGGATAATGTATTCGTATAAATATAATCGTAAACTTATAACTTCGGTACAACATGACCAACGCATCAAACAATTTTAAGTGTTTAAGTGTACGGATTATACAAAGTCTTTCTAGTAGCAAAAACCAAATTATACTAATTCAAAAAAAAATTATTTATTATTATTACTATTACACTATAAATTATATATTTGAACAATTTTACTTACTTAATTAAAATTTAAAAGCGAAATACAATTATTTATTAGAACAAATTGAGTTTGGATGACATTTAGAATTACAAAGTATTCCCCCGGATTTGCATTTACATTTATTTGTTAAATATTTAGTTATACATAAACACTTCTTAAAACCTTGACCACCAGAAAAAGATTGTTCATTAGCTATTTCACGCAAAGATTTTTTTGTGGCTAAAACTTCTAAAATATATATTAATGGTTCAGAGCATACAGTGAATTGATTTCTTGAATAAAGTTGACGAAGAGTGCCATTTTTATTACCGAGTTCGTAATATTGATTATCACTTATAGACACAACCGCAAAGAGTACATTCTGTGGATCACCCTTACTTCTGTCTACTTCTGGTAGTTTGACTCTAACTGTGTCGCCAACATTGCATGGTGGGAATTTGTTGATGGATCTGAACTTCTCCAATAGTAATGAGGTCGTATCTTTTCAAAATTCGATATGCCTTGTTACTTTTTATTCCACTTGATCTCACACTTTTAATTTCCGAAACTATTTCGTTATACTTAACTGCCGATAAATAAACTGAATTATTATTTTTTTCATTAACTATTTTATAAAAACACTCATAAAATTTTTCGCGTGAAGTCATTTTAAAAACCTATATTATATGTACGACGCGTGTATTAAGACGAACTAGCACCGTACTAAATATTATTGCGTGTGTTTCTTCATAAACATTTATCTACAATCGTTATTTTATCGTAGGTATACATTTTATCAAAGTACTTTACCCACTCAGTCGTAGATAATGTGTAAAATACCGAGTAAAGTACGAAATAAACGTTTTATAATTAGTATTTTTACTTTATCCAATAGGTACAGGTAGTGTATACATGACCCGGATAATGTAAACACTAACCATATTTTGTACTTTACCCGTAACATATATAATATAATATAATAATAAAAGATCACATGTATATATAATTTTCTTGTTTTGAAAGTTGTTTGAAATATTTCAAAAAATATTATTAATTTGTGTAAGCCAATGTAAAGGTTAGTATATACAAAAATATAAGGTGTGAATTGCAGTAATTAAACTTGGTAATACATATATACTGGGTGATTCTTTTATCAAACAACACTCATTATTTCAAAAATTGTAAATTTTTTTGAAGATATTTTTTTACATAGTTTCAAGTCGCTTATAAAACAACGTTTTTATTAAAAAATTATATTTTTAATTATTTTTTATCCTTATAATTTTTTAAGTTTTTTACTTTTTTGAATGACAACATAGAGTTTTAATTTTATATTCTAAAGTAGAATATTTTTCTTAGTATTTTGATACATGAAAACCGAATTTGGGGCGAGTAGTTTATGAGTTATAAGTATTTAAAGTTTAGACGAGCGGTGAAGTGGACAAACATTTCGCGGGGTAACCCCGAACCACTCCACTCCGCTCGTCTAAACTTTAAATACTTATAACTCATAAACTACTCAACCCAAATTCGATTTTCATGTATCAAAATACTAAGAAAAATATTCTGCTTTGGAATATAAAATTAAAACCCTATGTTGTTATTCAAAAAAGTAAAAAACTTAAAAAATTATAAGGATAAAAAATATTTAAAAATATAATTTTTTAATAAAAACGTTGTTTTATAAGCGACTTGAAACTATGTAAAAAAATATTTTCAAAAAAATTTACACTTTTTGAAATAATGAGTGTTGTTTGATAAAAGAATCACCCAGTATAAACAATGTGAAAATTGTTGTGATCTTCGGATCTTCATGTGAATAACATAGTCATGCATCTTCGAAGTCTAAATTACAGTTTCTATAAGCTACGAAAAATTGTATCTGTTCATGTCATGAGAACTGTATATTTAGCTCTATAACAAGCTATATTCCAATATGGTCTGTTAATCTGGGGAGGACTCTCGGATAACGCTCTGAAACCTTTATTGCTTCATCAACGTCAGATAGTGCGCGTATGTTTACAAAAAACACACTATGTTGGATCAACTAAGCATAACTTTAGGGAGCTCAATGTATTACCAGTTGACCTTTTATTCAAAAAAATGGCTATTTTGTGGGTGGTTAAACACCTAGATCAGTGGGTTGACAAAAATGTTTTCAGTAAAAAAAGAGCTTTTCGTTCATTTGATGCTAAAACATCACTTTTTAAAAAATCAGTTGGTCAAAAATTTGTTGATTTTCTTGGTCCTTTTTATTATAATTCTATGCCTTTCTCTATAAAGAAAAATGTTAATATTAATTATAATTATAATAATGCTAAAAAAATAATTATTGAATGGCTGCATGTATCGTTAAATGTAACTTAGGTTTAACTTTATGGTATTATATTATTATAACTTTGTTTTCTTTTCTTTTTTCTTCTCTCTCTTTCCATATTGTATAACTACGTAATTTGTGCTTTAAATTTATTTTTCTTTTAAGCATATATTTTAACAATTGTAACTCCCTATCTTCGCCACAAGCTTAGCTTACAGATGATAGGTAATTCAAATGTATAAATTAATGTATAATTGTATATTTGTTTTTAAATAAAAAAAAAAAAAAAAAATATATATTATATATATATTAGTATAACGTTACATGTATGTTTTAAGAAATTGACATTGTCTTAACAATCGACACACCAAGCTCCTACTAAAACTCTTAGCTTTTAAATAAATGTACTGCAAAATGTCTATCCAATTTGTGCATTCAAACTACTTATATATATATTTTTTTAATATTATTGATATACATATTTTAAATAATAATGAAAGTATGTGCATTCTCATAACAGTTTAATGTACCTATATTTATTGTACATAACATTTGCTTAGGTAGGTTAATTTTTTTAATTATTAAATTAAATGATCATTACATTGCAAAGGATATAGCATATACTAATAATAGTAACATTTACAATTTATTAAAGCGAATATAATAATAACGTTTTAGAAGATAGTTTTAAAACGGTGATAGGTTGGTGATAGGATATGATAGGGTGGTATGTATTTATTAATAATATATATAAATCATGTATAATACATTTTTGCATGACAACGACATAATACAAATGTTGACAAATATTACAATATTTTAAGCATTGGAGGAATTTAAATTCAATTTATTATAATTTTATAACATATAATAATATAATCTTGTTTTGAAATTTGTTTGAAATATTGCAAAAAATTAATATGTGTAACCCAATGTAAAGGTATGAATTGAAGTAATTAAACTTGGTAATACAATATATTAGTATATATGTAATATAATATTGCATAACATGTATGTTTTAAGAAATTTAAATGTATTGAATTTATTGTAGTCTATTCATGTTTACTTATTATTACTAACATTATTACCTATGTATGTAACGACATTGTCATAAACAATCGACACACCAAGGTCCTACTAAAACTCTTAGCTACATTAGTTAAATGTACTGCAATACTCATGAAAAATGTCTATCTAATCCGTGCATTCAAACTACTTATATATTTTTAATATATTATTGAAATGCTGATTAATTGCGGCTTCCACAACGACCGGAATCGACTTACACAGGCAGCTAGTAAATATAAAATTTGCATAGGTACGATAATAAAAATAAAATTCAAAATAATAACATTTATAATTTATTAAAGCGAACATAACATTTTAGAAGATTTTAAAAACAATTATTATGCAGTAGTAATGCAAAGAAAAAATTGAAAAAAACAGTTTTTGAATCTCGAGCACTTGGACCGTTTCTGAATTTTTCATTTTACATATTATATTACACACGGAAATATCACAATTTTTATAATATATAGAAATACGGAATAACTCGGGAAATAATAATATTCGAAAATATTCACGCCAATATTGTCGTCGCGGCATGAATTGCAGTGGTGGCATGCTTCTTACTCCTCTTTGTCGATTCTGTGGAGATAGACTCCGAAGCAACCGTGTCCAGAAAGGATTTGAGTTGAATGAAAGTCTAGGTCCCCTTGTTTGCCGAGGCACCACCTTTCAACGTCGGGGATTAACCGTTTGCTCCATCCACCGGATATAGACTCGGCGATGCGAGCTTTCCAATTCAACATTGTGGAGGCGCGGGGAGAGAACTCACTGCGTACGTCAGACCTCTTCTCGCTGAACGAGGCACTGCGTTCCTCGGCCAGTAGGTCGGCAGGCGGCGTGCCGGCCAAGATGTTTGTTGCTGTTTCCGAAACTGTTCGGTAGCCGCAGATGCTTCGGAGTAGCGCCTTCGCTGCACGCCATTTACTAGTGACTTGTTTCTCGGGACCCGGGACATTGTCTCCGCCCATGATGGTGCTCCGTAGAGGAGAATCGACGTCGTTCCTGATAAGAGCAGCTTCCTTCTGGACTCTTTTGGGCCTCCGATGTTTGGCATAAGTCTCCCTAGGGCGCTTGCCATTTTTTCCACCTTAGATGCGGCTTCGACAATGTGGTCCTTGAAGAGTAGGCCGCGCTCCACTATCATCCCCAGGTATTTCATCTTGTCCTTCGGCTGGATGGTTTGCCTGTCGAGTGTCAGCCTTGGGGTTTCATACTTATATTTGTTGGTGAACACGATCGCCTCGGTTTTGTGTACTGCCAGTGACAGTCCCAGGTTCCGGATCTCATCGGAAACCAAGGAGAGCGTCTCGTTGGCTATTGTTTCCAGCTCTGGTATGGTTTTCCCCGAGCTTACGACTAAGGTGTCGTCAGCGAAACCGATCAGTCTGGACCCCCGTGGGAGTTGGAGTTGGAGAATCCGGTCGTAGGCGAGGTTCCAGAGAAGCGGGCCGACGACAGAGCCTTGCGGAACGCCACTCGACACGGGAGCATACTACTTGCGTCCGAAATTATTATCAGTAGGTGAGTTGCGTCCCGCAAAAAAAAGGTTCAAAAAGGTCATAGCCGATTTGCGTCCCAGTACACCTTTTTTTATAACCTAATTGCGTCCCAAAAATATCGATATAATCAATATAAAAATGTACAAAAAAAAAAGTATGGAAAAAACTATTCTGAACGAAAACGGTCAGTCAGCCTATGATATTACTAAGTATATTTCAATCTTTAGCTATAAAAGTTGAACGAATATTTTTCAACTTCAGGAGTTCAATTTTCACGCTTTTTTTTAAAAATTCAAACTTATAAAATTACAAATTCATTTGTTTTATATTTAGTCATGGTAGTAATAATAATAATAATAATAATATAAAAAATCGTATTTTATTAAATTAACTTATTTAATTTTTTTTAATTTGATGAGTGGTAATTTCACAACTATTGGTCTAATAAGAGGAATCGTACTGAATAAAAGTAAAATGTGAAAATAAAATGCGAGTAAAAAAAAAATTATCGACGTAATTGCTTTATCTTATCGAATCTAACAACCAACAAGATGTATACATGTTCCCATATCTTTTCACATAAAATAATACCCACTTAAGTTATTAATAGAATATACTATCATATTGTACCTAACATAGATAAATTGTATCTACAATGTAAGTAAGTAACGCACGCACTCACACACATGTATACGGTACAGTTTATGAACTATTGATTTTAGTGTCACGATACTATCGATTTTAATGATTTTAGAAGATAATATCGATAATAATTATATGGCTGACTTGCGTCCCCAAAACGGGACGCAATTTACCGGTCAAATTTACTACCTGAAAAATATATCTTTTTTTGGGACGCAAGTAACATGCTCGACACCTGTATCTCCACTTTTTGGTCTCCAGCAGAGGTTTCGGCTGACCTCCCGGAAAAGTAGTCCTGGAAGACTCTTTTCAGGTACATGGGGGTTTCGGCCTGGCTTAGTGCTAGCATGACCTCGTTCCAGCCGATGGAGTTAAAAGCATTCTTGATATCCAGGCTGATTGGCATACCTGGTGAACAACGCTAATTATTTTCCCATTTATGTTGTCCATACCCGGGGCGGTGTTTTTCCGCTTGATTCTATCAACTGCTTTGTTAACCTCCTCTATTGTGAAAGGTGGAGGCGTCTCATTCACTTCGAGAGCTTGCATCGTCATCGGGGGATGTAGGGGGAAGAGTACTTCCGTGATTCGTCGTACTGATTCGAATTCCATATTGCTTGTTGCGGGAGGACCGCGTAGTCTTCGAGCGACCAGCTTGTAAGGTTTTCCCCATGGGTCATTGTCCATTGTTTCAAGTAGTTCGTTCCAGCAGTTCTTTTTGCTCTGCGCGATGGCGATTTTCAGTCCTTTCCTGGCTTCCTTATAGGCGGAGTTCGCTGTGATTGCAGTTTCCTCTTCACTAGCAGAGTGTTGTCCACGTGCGCGGCTGCGGTGGAGTTTTGAGACACATCCGGTTTTGGTTCGCTTCGCCGCCACGCATTTTCTTCGTTCGGAGGCAATTTCGTCGTTCCACCAGTGAGCAGGAGGTTTCTCCGTAGGAATAGGAACCATGCGCTTGAGGGTGAAGTCGCATGCCTTAGTGATGGACTCGTGTACGGCCTGGGCTCGTTGTTAGGCATTGGCAGATGTAGCGAACAGGACAGGATCGCTGGTCCACCTCGCCAAAAGAAGTCCTATTTCCATTTCTTGGCTGCTAATCTCGCCTTCGGTCTTCCAGCCCCTCGGCTTTTTTCTGATTGCGGGTGCCCTGGTTCTGGTATCCTCTAATTGAAACGCGATGTAATGATGGTCCGACCCGCTCTCAGCCTCATCGCAGACACGCCAGTCTTGTGATGTGTTCGGAGATGGCTGTTATATCCACGATTGACCCTCTGACCCTTCCCACGAAGGTTGGTTTAGACCCCTCGTTCATAACTATTAACACCAGAGAGTCGAGGAGGCTGCTCAACTCGTTGCCACGCAGGTCCTGACATCAATCAGCCCACACTGCAGATCGTGCGTTAAAATCGCACGCAATCAATACTGGTATTCCAGGTTCAACAGCTCTGATGCAGTCTTCAATTCTTCGCATGAAGTCGGTGAATTCTTGCATGGTCTTGTTAGGAGATGCGTCTGCAGCTAACCACATGGATTCCGTTGGGTCGTGCGGCCACAAACTCAGAGTCTCTATGAATCATAGCTGCTGTGACAACACTGCCTGCTAGCCATATAGCTGTTCTCCTGGTACCAGAGCTCACGAGCCATGAGCTGCAATCACTGGGAGCATTGTGGGGGTCGCTCACTAACGCGACATCCACCCTTTTTTCAGCAGCGTACTGCTGAAGTAGATCCTGAGCCATCCTGCAGCGGTTCAGGTTGCACTGGATGAAGTTAACCATCAGTGCTTATCCTCTGTGCAGAGCTTGCGCTAGCACTGTCTTCCTGCACAGCCGTAGTTGGGGCTAGCAACGCGACTTCGCGCCACTGCAGTCTTTGATCAGATGACCGACTTGTCGACAGCGGAAGCATCGTTTCGCCTGGACTGCTTGTTCTAGCAGGTCAGTCACCTTCCTCGACGTTGGACGTAGCAACCCTGGTAGGCAATCTGACTTCGTCGGATAGTGCGACGTCCGGGTCAAGGCACGAAAACGCCAAATGACGTAAATCAAATGTATATAAATAATAACATTTCGGGCGCCCGTGCTAGTCCTAATATAGTCGCCGTGATTTGTTGAGTGTCTAGCAAGTCGGGCGGCCACGTTTAATAGTTTTTGACGCATGCATTTCGATGCCTGTATATAGTAACGCCTACTCGACGGTGGTCGAGTAAATGTAGAGGGGAACGCGAATAAGTCATCAACTGGGATTGCAGAAGTGTGGAAAAGGGCTAAAACTGGAATTTTAGAAAAAAACGGCAAAAAACGACGCGACGCATATATTTAGCGTTACCTACTCTCGTTTCCGCGACGTCGCTCCTCCCCGGGACTCGTATCTGAAAAAGTAGGGCCGCGCGCCGGCTGTAAATTTAGCGGGGAACGCGAATAAGACCCAAACGGGGAGGGCGATACGACCGACACTTGCTAAAACTCGAATTTTTGAAAAAAACTGCAAAAAAAGAAAATCGAACTCTTCGACGCATATATTCAAGCAGTGTATAGTAATAAAAAGTATCAAGGACTGCTTAGACGGGGAACGCGAGTAAGTCTTCGAAGTCCGTAGAGGCGGTAAAAATCGAATTTAAAAAAAAAACCGAACATTTTCGTTAAATACGATAAGACGAAAAAAAAAAGTGAAAAGAAAAATTCAGATTTAACACGGCCGCCGCAATTTATCGAAAATCCCGGCGGCCGGGTTCGAAACCACGACCCTCGAGTCTCTCGTCCTAACGCCTAACCTACCTAGCCACCTACCGAGGTGAAAAACTGAGTCAAATCTATGACTCTTAAGCCACGTCGCCGTGCACGCGAAAGGCGAACGCCGTTTGGACGGCAGTCAAAAGGCGTTTGAGCTTGCGATCTCCGGATCCGCCGCCCTCTGACGTATAAAACGCGAGATTTGCGAAAAAAATCGAACCTCGAGACGCATGTATTTATGCCTGTATATAGCGATACGTAATCGGTACCTACTCTCGTTTCCACGACGCCGCTCCTCCCCGGGGCTCGTTTTTGAAAAAGTAGGGCCGCGCGCCGGCTATAAATTTAGCGGGGAACGCGAATACGTCTCCGAAGGGGAGGTCGGACGTCTCGCGAAGGCGCCGAACGCGACTCTAGTCGAAAAAGTCGGGAAAACCGTCGAAGCGGCGACGACGCGGCGCTCTCGGCGATCGACTCGTCCGCCGGGGGACTCGTCGACGAAAAAGTAGGGCCGCGCGCCGACTATAAATTTAGCAGGGAACGCGAATAAAATCCAAACGGGGAGGGCGATACGCCCAAAAACGCCTAAAACTCGAATTTTCGAAAAAAAATGCAAAAAACGCGCGCGACGGCGGCGCTCGTATCGCACGCGACATCCGCCGCCACGGGCCCGCCGGGAAAAAAGTAGGGCCACGTTGAATTCCGGGACGCCTATTATATATAATGAGGCATTTATTCAGACTATAGTACCTATATTTTGTTTTGGGCCGGGTGCGGAGAGGCGATGTCTAAAAAATCCTCTAAACTATAAGTTTTTCCATAATATAAACCATTACCTGTACACACATTGTGCTTACGGGCAGCGTGTAAAATATAATAATATATTATGCTGTATTCTATTAGTACCAATTACATTTCTGGACATGTCTTAATAATATTATACACTATTGTGGAATTTAACGTCAAGCTATTATCTCACGACCAGCGCACCAAACCCGATGCGTAATTTCGGCAAAAGTTCTCACCCCGGATGCGGAAGTCGGCGATGTGTGCGATGTACGTGGGTATGAGAAACCCCAGGCCTCCGGTGCCGAGGCCGTGCGTGAGCCGGATTTCCCAGACGGGCACCAAGTTCACCTGCGACAACAGCAGCCAGCCGACGAACACGACCATGTCGCGACCAATTACCGAAAATCGGTAACCGATATTCCTCGTCACCGGACCCAGGATCAGGCCACCGAACGTGGTCCCCAGGAAATAGCAAGCGACCGGATCCAGGTACCAACCGGAGTCGTCCAATTCGCTGTTCAGAGCGTAATCGTTGTTTCCAAACGTCCGTGTGAACCTCGCTGCTGCCGAGTTCCACGCAAAAACAGTGCCGATCACCACGCCGCTCAGACCGGCTGCGAACACACTTGTCAGGGTTAATTATCGGGGATTTCGTCCTTAAGTATCTGTATATCTGACGGTGTCAGATAAGAAGCACTCTAAAATACCTATACTCTATGTACATGCTATTGGACTATACGAAATTCCAAACGGTGTTGACAGATGTTTAAATTATCCAACCTAGTTTAATGTTTATACCTACCTAAAATCGAATAACAGAACAGCGGAAATCTCTGTGGAACCGCTCTTTCTTCAGTGCACATCATCGGTGCCATATACGAAAAAATATACGAATATCGATACGGAAAAAACAAAACCGTTATTTTCACTATAAAAATAGTAAAATTAACTGTATTATACAATTGCTATAGGGATAGCTATAAAGGCGCGTTTACACGATGACAGTATCACTCGACAGTCGCCGTCACGATAGTCGCTGTCGTGAGACGGTCGTCGTGTAAACATAATGACAGCTGCTGCCACACTGTCAACTGCCAGCTGTCGAAATATCTAGCTCTGCTAGATAGTTGACAGTAACTAGTTGACAGTGTGACAGCAACTGCTATCGTGTAAACGGTGACTACCACACTGTCAACTACCACCGTTCGATTTTTGTATTGTTGTTATCAATTATTACTTGTTATCACGTATACTTACAGTTTTAATTGCTTTTTTATTATATCCGGATACCGTTTTAATTCAATTAATTTAAATTTTAAATTAAAATAATTCAAAATGGTTTTTTATACTATTGAATTTCTAAAACATTATGAAGAGCATCCTTGTTTGTGGGATAAATGTTTACCTGATTTTAAGAATCGGCAAAAAAGAAATGTGGCTGAGGAAAAATTATTACCCATCTCAGAACTTTCTAACATAAAAGAATTAAGATCAAAAATCAGAAGTATAAGAGGAACATACAACCAAGAATTGGGCAAAATTAAAAATTCAATGCGAACTGGGTCTGGTGCAGCAGACATTTACAAACCAAAATTAAATTGGTTTTCCTATGCTGATAGTTTCTTGAGGAAAAATGTAGAACAAGAGATTGAAACTGAATCAAATGTGGTGAGTTACAAATTTATTGTTACTTTTATAAATATTATCATAATTGCATGCATATAAGAGGTAATAATAAAGTGAATAGAAAATGACTTAGATATTAAAGTAATATGTAAATAGTTCAATGTATCATCTTATGCTGCCAATTAACTGCTCCTTCTCCTATAAAAATATAAAATAATCCGCTAATTCTTCTCTTTTCTGACGAGCTTCATGAATAAAATGTCTTTCTTGTGTGGCACGTAAAGGTACAATGCCCTCAGATCCCACATCATTTCGCCACGTCCCAGGAATTAAACATCCACTTTCATAATCTTCTATATCAACCGATATTGAACTAGTACTGTTGCTTTTTCTTATCCAATTGTGTAAGGCACAGGAAGCTTTAATTAATTTCATGGTTGTCTGTGGAGCAAGAAGTATAGGTTTTCTGAACACTTGAAAACGGCTGGCCATAATGCCGAATGCGTTTTCCACAATACGCCTAGCTCTGCAATGCCTATAGTTGTACATTTTTTCTCTATCCGTTTGTTGAAATCTTCTTGGATATGGCTTCTTTAAATAACTTTTTAAAGGGAACGCATCATCGCCAACAATCACACTATTTTCTGGAATTTTTAATTGTTTAGTTTCAATTGCTTTCATCAAATTAGACTTAGAAAATATTCCCCCATCAGATTGACTTCCATAACTACCGATGTCAATACAAGTAAAATTATAATTTCCATCAACTAAGGCTAAAAGCACTATGCTGAAAGTTCCCTTGTAGTTATAATACTGAGAACCAGTATTACTAGGGCATTGAATGACTACGTGTTTACCGTCAATTGCTCCTATACAAGACGGAAAATTCCATTTAAGTTCAAATTCGTTAATAATATCTTGCCATTCACTTTCTTTTTGTGGTACCTTTAAAAACAAGTAAAATAAATAATAACATCACACAACAAAATTTTTTATGAATTCTAAATAAATTTAAAAACTTTAATGAATAAAAATATTTTTGTATTTAGTTATTACATGATGAAATCAATGCAGATGAAGCATCACAAATTGTCAGTGATAAAGAAGATGAAATCAATAAACAAACTCAAGAACTGGATATACCACTACACACACAAACAAAAAAGAGAGTATTGCAAAAAAAAAACAATTCAAATAAACTTCAAAGAATTGATAATTCTTTAGATGACGCAGTGAGAGCTCTAAGAGAAGTGAGTTCATCATCACGCTCTTCAAATAATGAGTTCACTCAATTTGGACAACTCGTAGCTACACAGTTGTCTCAACTACCTTTAGAAGTAGCGATTAACCTTCAGCGAGAATTTCAAAATAAAATATCTGACGCAAGGCTTAAACATATTAGTAGCTCTTCAACAACTTCATCGCTTTCATCACCTTCTACTGTAGGTCTTCCATTAAATAGTTCAAAAAGTAGTTATCAAGCCATACCTCATGAACCTGAATATGAAGAAGTACCCTTCAATGAAATAATTATAGAACAACCATCACTAACTAACTACTATGCAAATTGGGAAAATATATTGGAATAAATAATTCTCAATCATTATGTTATTACTATTTTGTTTAATTGAAAGTATTTAATTTTTTATTTTTTATTTGATTCAAAAACTGACAAAGTTATCAGTATAAAGTATGTTTTTTTGTTGAAATTAAAATCATTTTATATACTTTTTTTTATTGTGAAGTTGATTAAATATTTAAATATTTTTATTTATTATTTTATATTTATATTCTTACCATGATATAATCCTGCAATGCTTCATAAATAGCGTCAAAAACCTCTGGTAGGAATTTACTTATGCTACATTTTGGTACTCTATATAAATACTGTAGAGACGCAAGTGAGTCACCTGTAGCTAAAAATCTACAAGCAACTTGTAATTTTAAATTTGCTGGGAGAGCATTCCTCATAACTGTATCCTCTTTTTGGATCCTTTTAGAAACCTATGAAAAATAAATGAATATATTCTGACACCGATACTATTAAATTAAAATAATATTGAAAAAAAATAACTTTTTTAACTTACTTTATTAAGTAATGTGTCAAACATTTCTTCATTCATTCTTAAAAAGTTATAAAAACTTTTGTGGTCCTCAATTGCAAGTTCTTTAATTAATGTATTTGTAACACCCAAGTTATTCCGCCTTTGTATCCATTTTCTTACCCACTCTTTTTTTTTTTTTAAACCTCGTTTTTTATGTTTTAATAATATCATTTCTCCGATCACTCTTATCATTGAGATTACAACTTCTTCGGACATGATTAATCGATGAGCAAAATTAAAACAATACCCAAGAGAATAAGTTAATTATAAATAATAATAAAGTGAATAATAAAATAAACTAGTGACACTGTTTTAGTCAGCTATCGCACGAAACACAATATTTGTTATGACAATTATTGTCACCGTGTAAACGCTCATCTTCATGTGACAGTAGCTGTCACATTACTATACGACAGCGCTGTCATGACTGTACTGTCACCGTGTAAACGCGCCTTAATGTTAGTCAGATTTACTAAAAATATATAGTTATGATTTTATAGTAAGCCAGACAAAAATTATAGTGTTTTGTACCAAACATGTTTAGTACTCTTTACTATACAATTTAATTATTAATATAATATGAACATTAGAGATATAAAATTACTATAAATATTATACCTAATACAATCAATGCCTACTGTATTATAATATATTATAGTATTCAGTATAATGTAACAACAGTAGGTACATTTCTGAAACTGTACAAATAAAAATAACAATTTAAAAATATTAAATATATTTTCAAATTTATGTATACAATTTTATAAATACACTTCCATTAGAAATGCTTGTATGGTGAACAGGAAAACTATTATCCAAATCATTTAATTTTGTACATTTTAATTTAGAAGTTAACATAATGCATTGTTCAGATGAGGCTTGAATATAATTTTGAACAGCAAAGTTATGTGAACGACTCTCTTCATGTTTTTTAACAGCTACATTTATAGCTACATTTATTATTTTATAGCAGTATGTGAATGTGTTTGAAATCTTTATATCCATTTATAAAAGGGGACTGATGACTACTAAATGCTATACAAATAGGATAATATACTGATTTTAATTCATTATTTTCTACATGAACCGACAACCAATTCCGAGAAACTTCTTTTCCATCAGGCATTTTTCGTTTATATAGTTTTTGAATGTGTAAATGAGAGTTTGAAAATGAAGGCTGAATTGGATGCTGTTTCATAAAAGCCAACTTATGTAGTACATTTGAATTTTTCAAAAGTGTGAAAGAAGAAGATTGCATGTCTTTTTGTCCATCAGTGAAAGTTTCCTTAAAATTTAGTAACATAATATTATTAAATTTTGAATATTAAATGAAAACAGAAAAATTTGCAAGAAGTTTGTCAACATTAGTGTTCTGTGCTCATGCTACTCTCATTATGTGAGATAGTATTTCTAGTATTATTATCATCAATATTTTAAATTTTTCTAAAAGAAAGTTTTTATTCATTAGTTTAAATTTCTGTTTAAACCTTATTAAAATATAGGTTAGGTACAGTTAAAACAGTTAACATTACTAAACAGTTAAAATTGTTTAATAATAAATTACATAAATATGTATGTAACCAATTTAATTTAATTTAACTATTATTAAATAATATAAAAACATTGATAAAAACTTACCACTTGCTCATTATTAAAATGCCCATCTTCATTATGACTCTGATTTTGGTTTAAATCCATCTCAACGGTTGTATCGTTGTTTTCACTTTTCACTACTAGTATGTTCCTTAAAATAAAGCAATATTAAAAATTAAATAAGTAGGTAGGAGGTAGTGATTTCTTTATTTAATATAAAAACTTACCACTTGCTCATTATTAAAATGCCCATCTTCATTATGACTCTGATTTTGGTTTAAATCCATTTCAACTACTTTATCGTTGTTTTCACTACTAGTATTAATAAATAAATAAAGTCCATCGTAAGTTTTTAACAAAATTATGACACAGTAGGTAAAAATCACGAACATTTGAAAATTATTTTGAGTTAGAAATACATAAGAACGTTCCTTTTTATATCTAAGATTTGAAAATTAAATACATGTTCCTCGTAAGTTTGCCTACTTTTATTATATTATATATTATATATTTTATCAAAAATAATTGTCTACCAGAAAGTGAATTTTTATGAACTTTTAAAGTTAAAATTTCTACAATATTAGATGTACACTCGATTTTTCATTTTTATTGTTATTCAAAAAAAAATAACCATAAATACTTTAATATCATAATAATAATAGTTATTAAATATTATAATAATATAAAATATCATCAAATATTTATCAAATATGATGTGTTGTTTTTGGAAATAACATAGGTATTCATATTTCATAATAATATAATATAATATACATGAAATGTTGTTAAAATAATCAAATTTATAATTAATTAGTTTTTTCAGATTGAAAACACTATAAAGAGAAAAGCTACTGAAGAAATATCAACAAGACCTAACAAAATTATACGGAAAGCAATATCAGAAGCAGATAATGTGACGATTAATGATTTTTCCAATTACAGACAACATATATATAGAAAACGAAGGAAGGTTTTACCATACATCCGGCTCACGCACGGCCTCGGCACCGGAGGCCTGGGGTTTCTCATACCCACGTACATCGCACACATCGCCGACTTCCGCATCCGGGGTGAGAACTTTTGCTGAAATTACGCATCGGGTTTGGTGCGCTGGTCGTGAGATAATAGCTTGACGTTAAATTCCACAATAGTGTATAATATTATTAAGACATGTCCAGAAATGTAATTGGTACTAATAGAATACAGCATAATATATTATTATATTTTACACGCTGCCCGTAAGCACAATGTGTGTACAGGTAATGATTTATATTATGGAAAAACTTATAGTTTAGAGGATTTTTTAGACATCGCCTCTCCGCACCCGGCCCAAAACAAAATATAGGTACTATAGTCTGAATAAATGCGCCATTATATATAATAGGCGTCCCGGAATTCAACGTAGTTATACGTAGTGTGTCGTGTGTACATAATAATATTATACCCAGTGTTATACACCGCAATTGTGTTGTGCGTGACCTAGGTCGGGTACTGGTGCTCCACCACGCGTTCGTGTGTTTCGGCGTGTTCTACGCACACGCGTTCAGCGCCATCGTCACGAACGCCCAGCTGACAGGCGTGTGCATGGTGTGGCCGGCCCTGCACATCCTCATCTCGGTCTTCATGCACGTGTACAAATGCCACGGCGACTCCGAGCACGCGAAAACGGCTATGCGTCGAGTCAAAGGCGAAGACTACTGCGTAGACGAAGACTACATGGCGCTCATCGAGGTAGGTTTCAATTCAAAATTGGGACGAGACGATATCGATTATATTATATAAAGTCGTTTTTTTTTTTCCAAAAACCAGAGACGTGTTCGAGTGCATGATCGGTGACAACAGAAGCCGCCTGACACGCAGGATCGTCGACATCGGCGCAATACTCGTGGTGCTGCAGCAGACTTGCGGCGCGAGTGCGACGATGTTTCACGCCAAATCGGTGATCGGCGGATTCGGTTTGACCACAGAAATCGCTGACTACGGCAGGGCGCACACCAAAGCAGTGCAGTTGCAGTGCGGCGTTATAGAAGCGCGCGGACATGCACTGCATCCACGCCGCAAAAGCGCGCCAAAACACACCAAAGATGTGCAGTGGATGTGCGGCGTTATCATTAATTGATTTTTAATAAAAATAAAAAATATATAAAAATATATGAGGATTTTTATATTATTTTATGATTAAATACTTTGATTTGTAAGTTTGTCGACTATGTCAAGTTCCGATGAAGATATGTTAATGATATTATTAGTAAACAACATGAATAAAAATAAAAAAAAACGAAAATATTGGGTTCATCCATTCATTAAAAATAATGCCAATACACTTGGTACATTTTCGGTTACAAAAGAACTAGCAATGTATCCTGAAAAATTCAAAAATTTTTACCGAATGTCGCAAGAATCTTTCAATGTACTTTCGGACATGGTTCGGACCAAATTACAAAAAAAAGACACAAATTTTCGTTTGTCCATATCAGTTGAAGAGCGACTGTTGATTACACTTAGGTAAGTACTATACTAATAAGTAGTTTTACCAACTTGTACATTTTATTTTAATCTGTTCAATGAAAAAAAAAAAAAAATATTTTGATATAAAGAGGTACATTATGTTTATATTTTTAATTTTTATACTTATATAAATAAGAATAACTAATTTATTGTTAGTAATTTGTGTATATCATTCTCTGTATACACTAAAAAATTGTTGTATAAAATCATAAAATATATCAATGTGAGAAATATAAACAAATTAAGGAACTTAATTTATCACAATATAGTTTAATTAAAAATCTATTATTGATCATAACTACTTTTTTAGTAAATCAATATACATTATAAATATATTTAAAAAAAAAAGATAACTTGACAACACAAATAGAACAATTTATATTATATTATATTACTTATCAATGCATACCTATTAAAATATTTCCTAAAATACAAATAAATATAATTAACTTAACCATAGCTGGTACCTAATAAACAAAATAATGAAATATTTTAACAATTTATATTAACAAAATTTACTATACCTTATTATAACTAGCTGTTTATACCTTTATAGATTATGCTTCATAGAAAAATGTTATAGTATGATATACCTACTTGAAATATTAAACAAGAATCAAACAAAATTAAAAAGAAATACTATTGAATGAATAGCTGAAATTTAAAACATTATAATGGTCTCCAGTATGGAGTATGTTGTTCTTGTTGGTATGGTTGACTCTTGGATTGGTTGGTGCCATAAGGAGAATTATGTGTTTCTTGGTGGTGATGTAGCAGATCTTGTGGTTGGTTGATTTCATAGGGAGGTTGATAAACTGTGCCTTGTTGTGTTGTTGTGTTTTGTTCTACTTGACTAATTTGCATTTGATCATTAGCATCATTAACTAGTTTCATTATGTCATATTTTAAATTTCTTTTTAGCCTTGGATTTAAAGCTTTGATATCTGGAAGTAAACTTTTAAGAAAGTTCATATCTGGATCAGTTTCTTCATTTCTATCCTTTGTTAATTTTTTATTGGTAAAATAGTTGGTGGCTACCTTATTTAGCTCATCTAGTGATGATGTATTATTTTTTTTTTTATACTTTTATCATTTGTCTTGGGGTTGCATACAGAAGTTTCTTGACATATAATAGAAGTATCAATATCAATTTCATCATCAGCTTCAGTTTCTGAACCATCGTTATCATTTTCTTGGGCTTGTAAATTTCCGGTTTGGGGTCTTGATTTGGTGAACGGTTCGATGAAATGTAAGTATTCACTTAGATAGTAATCTTTCTTTTTGCGTTTGGCTCCAGATCCGCTTGGTGGTTGTTCTTTAATTTGTCTTAAGTACCTTCCTCTAACATTCCTCCATTTTTCTTTACATTCACTTACTGAAAATATATACTAATAGATATTTATACAATTTAAACTCATATAAGTTATATATTATATAAAATATATAGGAATAATAAAGATGGGCAAGTTAATGATAATAATTAACTCAAGTTAAGTTAAGATAGGTCACAACATCGATAAGTTAAAAGTTGTTAATAACAGTTAATAACAGTTAATTAACAGTTATTAACAAGTTAATAGTTAACTTGTTATTCATTTAACTCGATAAGTTAAAAGTTAATATGGAAAAAAAGTATTAACTTAAATCACTTTAAAAAAAAAATGATATACATTTGTTCTAATTAGTATATTCATCACATTATTTATTATACTGCATTATTTCTAATTTCCAAAATTATAATAAACAATTTTACTGAGCCTTAATATTGTAATGTATAGTGTATATACCTATTTTACTTTACATGATTATTAAATATTTAAATCATACCAAACCCAACCTTAATAATAATTTAACAAATATAAATTTGTTTTTATCAATTAGCAATTTAATGCCATATAATATTATGCCTACTTAATCTAATTAAATATATCTATAAAAGCTAAAAGAAGGTAAGTAATTAGGTTTATGGAAATAACCATAAATAAGGTTAGGTTAGAATTAAATCAAATTTGTAAGGTTGGACATTTGGAGTACAATTTTTTTTTTATCAGATTTCTTGCGATGGGAGGTAATATGAAGGCTCATTCAATGTACTTTTTGAGAGGAGAGTCAACTACTAGAGCTATTATTTCTGAAACATCCCAAGTTATTTGGGATTGTCTTCGAGATATATATATGCCAATTCCTTCAAAAGAAAATTGGAAAAAAGTTGCAGATCGTTTTTATGATTTATGGAACATTCCAAATTGTATCGGCGCTATCGATGGAAAGCACTTTAAAATCAAATGCCCATCAAATACAGGCTCAGCTTATTTTAATTATAAGCATTACTTTAGTGTTGTTTTGATGGCCTGTGTGGATGCAGATGGGCTTTTTTTAACGATTGATGTTGGGGATTATGGGCGAAACAGTGATGGCAGAGTATTTAGAAGGAGTTCGCTGGGAATAACCTTAGAAAACAACGGACTGGATATTCCCGAACCCAAAGTATTACCTGGATGGGAAAACAAGGACAAATTTCCACACTATTTTGTGGCAGATGAAGCGTTCCCCCTAAAAAAAAATATAATGCGACCATTTCCAAAAAGGTCACTGAATAAAGAGAGACGCATTTATAATTACAGGTAAAAAACATTTGCACTATCTTTGTAATGCTATACATATTACTCATAAATATTTATATATTATATTGTATTTTTATTTACAGATGTTCTAGAGCAAGGAGGAGTGTGGAGTGCAGTTTTGGAATGCTTGTGTCAAAGTTTAGACTTTTTGAACAACCTATAGGTTGCAAAGTAGAAACAGCCGAAGCATTGATTAAAGCAGCATGTGTTTTACATAATTTTATTCGCATAAGAGAAGGTGTATTTTCAACACCTTCACACCCATCTACTATCAATTCAATGGGATATCAAAATATTGAGGATCAAGGAATAAGACCAACAAGAGCAGCAGAAAGTAACAGAGATTTTTTATGTGACTATTTTGTATCAGACGAGGGTAAAGTTCCATGGCAAGACAATTTCTCGTAAACTATTTTATAAACTATATATATTGTATGGGCTCTATCAGGCCTCTGAGTACTCTTGAGAGTACAATTGATTAATTTGTAAAACATAATAATTAACAATAATAAATACCTAACTATATACAATATAGTTATAATTACCTGATATATTAACTGTTTTTGAAATTTCATTCCATGCTGCTGTTTTTGCCCGATCGTTGCTATACGATTTTAAGTTATAATCATACAAACACGTATATTTTTCGATTTCCTGTACCAGTTTAATACTCACAGTGTCTTGCTCAGCCATATTATTAATTTATAACAATTTATGATATAACAACAATTTATAACAATATATGAATATTCAATAAAAATATTTTCGCCGAACGCGCACTGCAAGAAAATACTGCCAATGACTGGTTTGTGCGGCGCGCATGATGTGCGCCGCCAACGCGCCGCCGCCGCACTGCATCGGTGTGGGTATTCCCATAAGATAACATGTGTTCTATTTTAAACGCGGCACTGCATGCAGTGCGCCGCGAACGCGCCGCAACCGCACTGCATTGGTGTGCGCCGCGCCTTAATATAAATTTATTCATAATCACGGTTTAAATTTACTCATGCTTATAATAAAGTTATGATGTAAATAGAATTGGAATGAATTTGACATCGGCTTAATATGCGGTTTTCAGGAGGGGGTAGGGAATACATAAATACACATTTCTTAATGATTTTTACATTTTTCCGTGTGCGCATGCGTAATACAACTTGAATTTTTTTAAATGGCAACAGGTGTTTTGAATACCAAATTCGGATAGAACGAAATTTTTTAAGTCGATTTGGTCCTTTTTACTATAGCTCTAAAATGAAAATTGACTAAATGGCAACCAGTCAAAGTTTCGATTAAAATTATTGAATTTTTCACCAATTATACTAGAATTTTATGAATTATTATGAAATTTTAATTATTATTTTTGTATCCGTAGGTTTGCAGATATTATTAAATCATTTAAATTTAATTTTGAGGAATTAATTAACATCAATTAGACATAAATGTTAGTTCAATTACTAAGTAAGAAAAGATTAAACTAATTAACACAATTTTTTTACAATTTCAATCATTTATATTATTTATTTGGATAGATTTACGTTGTGAGGTTAATTAATTCCTCAAAATTAAATTTAAATGATTTTATTTGGTGGCAGCGTGGCATTGTGCACTTCGTTATCGTCATCGTCGTCGTTGAATAAAAACTCAACTATTTTCGATTTCGTCATTTCGCGTACAGCAGAGAACGCTGAACTCTTTAAAATTATTATTGTATATTATTAATCTCCAAAAAAAACTTCGGAGAAGTAAAACAAGTCTTCTGTGCTTTACTTAAATGGATTGGAGTACTTAATTTTGAGGTAAATAAAGAATTGAAATCAATATAAAAATGCTGTGCTTAATAGGTGCAAGAGAGAGTATAAAGAAAGTTCCTGTTAAAATTGTGGTAAATAAAGAAGTGAAATCAAACCTCAAAATTCTGTGCTAAAACTTAATTGACTATTGAAGAAAATTCGATGACATTAGCTACAAAAAAAAATTGCACAGAACGTTCCACATTTGCCTGCAAAAATTCACATGTCCATGGATGCACTTCGTTCTGTGCAATTTTTTTTTTGTAGCTAAAAATGTGGTAAAAATGCATGTCATCGAATTTTATTCAATAGTCAATTAAGTTAAAGCACAGAATTTTGAGGATTGATTTTACTTCTTTATTTACCACAATTTTAACAGGAACTTTCTTTATACTCTCTCTTGCACCTACTAAGCACAGAATTTTGATATTGATTTCAATTCTTTATTTACCTTAAAATTCAAGTACTCCAATCCATTTAAGTAAAGCACAGAAGACTTGTTTTACTTCTCCGAAGTTTTTTTTTTGGAGATTTCAGCTATTTTTCTGAAGCAAGAGACATTAATTCTATATTGATAATCTATTCTATAATTATATATTATTTCTCTTCTAATACTAATATGTGAGCATTTTTTGAATTGTTCGGCCATGGTCTTTTAATTAGTAGTTTATGCAGTACTTGCATAAAATACGGACTCCGCGAGACAGCAGAGAAAGATTAACATACGGCCGACCGTCGGTACGTTTATCACTGTTATTGTAATAATGTACGCCGTACGGATAGTAATAAATAATAATCGAACGGACGGACAATATGGCTATACACAACCTACAGCACAGCGGCTAGCGAGCAAATGAAATAGTAATAGGAGTAGGAAGCGCGTTGCGCGTATGCCACACTGCCGCGCCGCCGTGCAACCAAAGTCACGCACTCACGCATGCGCATATCATCACAACTCAACGCGGTATTGCGAAAGCGAAAAACTAGTAAATTCGACCGTTCTCCATATACGTTGCATGTAAAAATCAAAATATCGTCCGTTTTCCAGTATATATATATATCTCTCTGTTCACTCTGTGCTACGACACCGGGCCGCCGTTCTAGCGAGATCTATCGATATACATTTAAAATGGAATAACTATAAAAACGTGAAATGAAAATCTCTGTACTGGCTAAACTTTGGAACTACTTATCAGATGGTCTTGATTTTTTTTTATAACCGTAAGAGTATTTCAAGGAGAAGGTTTATAATATGAACGAATAACAAGAATAATAACTTATTACCTTTATTATAGTATAGATAAAATGGGGTGCCGTTTGGTGTATCGAGGTGTACTTTGGAACTCCTATTTTGTCTGCGTTTTTTAGCCTATCACAACATTTTTGAACCTCGCCGATTGCCGCAGGGACCTACCGAAGAGGTAGCGGAGACTGGGTACGATTGTAACATTTTTCACAAAATCATTTATTTCTTCCAAGATTTATGCTATTTTTCTTTAGTTACACTTTTAATCATTAAAATAACTTAATACTTTTATAAATAAGTGAGTATTGAACCTTAATTTTCATAATTTTCTAAATTAATGAAGGTAAAAAAAAAAAAATGTTACAATTGTAATCCAACAGGGACAATTGTAACAGGTCCAGGTACAAAAGTAACACATTTCATTTTATAATTTTTTAATGGTATAATTAAATCTTTTTAACCATTTCATACTAAATTAAATGAAAGATCTGTGAATAAAAATATTTAAAATATATTAACCTTTTAAATTAGGTTTTGTTTGAATTTAAGTTTTAAATTATTATAATAGTTACTTATTATAACTTTAAATAGACAATACAAAATGTTGATAATATAAAAAATTAACAGTAGGTACCTAACTAATAGAGATAAGAATATATTGAATTTTAATATAATTATAATTAAACAATATATTTAAATTAAAAATAATACAACTTTGTAAAAAAGAAAAACATTAACTGTTGAAACTAGGCGTTTTTAATTGTAACAATTGTCCCTCAATGAACTGTTTCATTTGTACCCATTCAATATTTTTTTAGTAACTTAAATATTATGAAAAATACTTACTGATCTGTAAATTTTGAATAATATCCAGTGAAACTACACAAGTTTCTGACTAAGTTAACGTAAAGAACATAACGAAAAATATAATTTAACAATCACAAAAAAATGAAAATTAACTGATAAATCAAAAAAACACATTTTTATTTTCCATTATCATAGATATTAAAGAATGGATAGGCCATGGCTACATTAATAAAATAGAGGGTCATGGTGCCGGAATGGGGAAGAGAGAAAGACTGTTTTTTATGATTGTATCTCATTCTGGCAGCGGTCTTATCATAAATTATATACAATAGTTATATATATATTTATTTGTGTTAAGACCTCTATAACCTCAAAATTTTTCGATCCGTGGGTTCTTCTGTATTGAGTAAGTCTCTTTTCAATATCACTTTGATCGTCCACCCGTCGCGTAAGTCCGCCAGCACCCTCAGGCGGGTGTGTGAGAGGCCGCCCAAGGTCGTCGAGACGTCAACATCGGCACCAACTTCATAATCTACAGTAATTTTAAGTTAATTTTAAGAACCTCTCACAATTATGTAAAATGCTCTGTGGTTATTGCACCAGACCGGACCGGCCACAGAGCGTTCCCGTCCCCATAATCACGATTTAAGATATACAGGTTGCACAACGAAGACAAATATTGTGACTCAAGAACTGATACTTCAAAAAAATTTACTCTCAACGCTCCATGCGGGGGAAATCGTATTTCAGTGTCACCACATGTAGGGAAAATTGTTATTATTATCTAAGGAAATTAGTTTTATTTTAAATGATGTATTATTCTTATTCTTTTACACAAAATCAAGTATTCAAGTCCAAGTACAATAGAATAAATAGTATAATAACTAATAAGTATAAATTGTAATCCATGTATAATTATTTATTTGCATTAAATACAATACATTAATATTTATGATAATTTATAATATTATAATACAAAGACAAATTTATGTACTAACTAATTTTGACAGTTTTTTTTTTGTTTTATTCATTTTTTTATTTTTTTGGTTTGAGATAAATGTATATTGTCTCATTCGCATTATTATATAGTATGAAAATATGTTGGTGAGTATGTCAGTCTTGTGTGTCTTACATGGAAAATGGATACCTGAATTATCTGAAAAAAAGTCATTATATGTATCTTCAAAAACATCTTTAGAATTCACATGTTGTAAGGAAAATAACGTGTTGGTATTTTTGTTCGATTTATTATTTCACGTTTATTTCACATACGTAATAATTCGTTATACAGATACAATTTGGTGATGTGTAATACAGTATTTCTTTTGAATTATTATTATATTAATATACTATACTCTTGCGAGTGTACATAGAAAATAGTTTAATTACGGGCTTTACATAAAATATGGGGGGAACAGCATGAACATTTAACTCACGGTTTGTAGAAGGGTATGTGGCTGGACGATGATGGCAATAAGCATCCACGTACAGTGGCGCGGTAATCATTGATTATTACCGGCGTGAACGGCTCGACTTTTGATAATCAACAGTGACTCGGCTCTGCGTGGCGGTATGTTGGTTTTTCGACTGGTTGAGTGCAGGACGGCAATGGCTCAGCTGATGTGACGGCTCCGTTGGTCTGCTGGTAACTGGTGGTTGCACGTCGATCGGTTTCACGGGCTGCTCAACTCGGACGGTGGCGCTTGGTGATAACGGATGCGTGCGACAACGGTACAACTCACGACTCACGGCGACGGTGGTGGAGCGTACGGGAGTTACCGGGCAAGACTGTAGAATGTCCGTTCTCGGCGGTCCAAAAAGACCGTCCGGCTCATTCAGTCTATGGGGTA